TGAGAGATCTGGTGCTAGTTGATCGTGTTATATTAGACGAAAAAATATCTCAAAAGGTAGCTAGTTGGTCTCCACCTCCTACTGGTTTTATTAAAGTTAATGTAGATGGTGCTATGGACAAGTGGTGGTCGAAGGGAGGCATTGGTGAGATTATCAGAGATGAGAAAGGAGTGATGTTGGGTTCGTTCTCAGAAAAAGTGGGATATGGTCCTCCTATTATTGCAAAATTGATGGCAGTGAGGAGAGGTTTGAATTTGTTCCTTGATTCGGGTTTGTCGGTGAATCAAAGGCTTATTTTGGAGTCCGATAGTGCGGTGGCAGTGGAGTGGATAAAAAATCCAGCTAGCTCCACCTATGTTTCTATCCATTGTTAAAGATATTGCAGACATTGTGGTCAATAAAGGGGTCATTGTTCGTCATGTTGCGAGAGTAACTTATTGTGAAGCGGGTGAATTTGCCAAACTAGGGATAGGTTAAATGATGGGGAATTAATTGGGTTGTTGTTGTTCTATTATTGGTATATCAGGAAGATTTGGGAATGGTATATGTTTGTATCTGGTTGATTAACCTAGGAGGTAGTTTTTGTGTAAGGTATTAACATACACATGTAGGTAGTGTTGTTTTGCACTGTGTTGAGTGGGCTGCCATTGTTTTTGGATGGTAGTGTGATATTATTGTACATGGTTCTTATGCAATAAAAATTTTAAGACACTCTTTTCCTCCTTCCAATGTCCGTCGAGTCTTTGTTACTTAACGGTTATGAAGGGAGTTTTTAACGAGACATTCCTTTTTATCAAAAAAAACTTTTATTAAAGTAATTGTATTATATTATATTTTAAAGAGTATTAATTTATATATTTTAAATGTCTTTATTCAAATATTGTTAGATTATTATATTAATATTAAATACATAAATAATATTATTCATTATTAATAATCTAATAATATTATTTATATAAATTAATAAATAACATAAATTTTATTAATAATTTATTATATATTATTAAAATAAAAATATAATATTTATTATTATTAAAAAATAATTGAGTGTATTATTATAATATAAAAATATAATATAATATTATTATAAATATTAATAAATATATTTTAAATATTTAAATAATTAATATTTTGATTAAAATGATATTTTTAATATTAAATTCATAAAATAAAATTATTTTGATTATTTATTATTTGCAGTGAAAAGTTCGAAAAAATGACCTATAGAAAATCAGACCGTAAGTCATTTTTTAGAAAATGTAAAGGAAATTTCATTGACCAATCAATTTTCCTATAACTAAACAATGGATAATAAAGAAAACGTTTTTCAAAAATTATTTTACGTGAAACAAACAAATGCTTGAGTGTGAGTGTGAGTGTGAGTGTGAGTGTGAGTGTGTAACTAAGATAGTGACTCAGATTAAGATTAAACGCACAATGAGCACCAGAACTGAATTGGTCTACAATAAGCAACGAAATGCAGCGGCAACCGGTTAGTCGTGGAAAGGCATCACGCCGGTGACAGCAACAAATCTAGCTGGACATGCAAATTTACACACAACAAAGCAAATGGAATCAAACAAATATGTTACGTTTCTTGAGATCTCGGTCCAAATCAAAAGGAGTATACCGTTCACGATAAGGCTCGACGAACGTATGCTTGTAACACAAAAATCTTTAGCAGTAAGTAACCTAGGTTCTATGAAAACCATCAAATCTCTTAATTGCAGAGGTGGATGTAAGGGACACCCGAACCCGAACCACGTGTATATGAATATGACAATTCGAGCAAAGTATTCTCTTGTACTAGCTTTCAAACATTGTCATGACCGAGAGAAATACCATACATAAAGTCCAACAAGAAGTCACGATCAAAATCTACCACGGCCATTTGAAGGCCACATGTTGCCTATAGCCTACACTCAATCATGTAAACAGGGACGGACCGAGGAGCCGGATGAGAACAATCGTCCTCCTGAAAATTTAAAGTGACAATATATTTTAGATTTTTTATATATATTTTCTATTAATGAAAATTTGTTTTCGCTTGTTCTTGAAATTTTATAAGTTCAAGTCTGTCTCCTAATATAAAATTATGTATTTGTCCCTACATGTAAATATAATTCTTTTCTTGAAAACCTCATCTCTTCAATCAAGATATATGTGTCATGAGATCATTACTCTATTCTCAAAAGATATGACTGAAAGTATGTGCAGCACCATTATTTATAAACTTCAAGACTTCCTTTTTTTAGGATTCATGTCTATTATTTTTCCAAGACTGAAATTCTTCCCAACTTAATCTCGGTACTTCCTCTTCATGATTGTCCGTCCTACTTACCCCATTTACTGAGGCGTTCGGTATGAAATCGGACTACCGCTTATCACGGACCATTATTTTATCTCCAAAAGACATATATTAGAATATGAACACCACCATTTATAAACTCTAAAACCTCCCCTTTTTGTCTCCAGCCTCTCCAAGGCGTGAAATTTACTTACCACCAACCACACTAGCATATTAAACTAAAACATCTACCAGAAGTCATTATATGTCGTAATCATCTTCCTATGTAAGCCAGAAACTTCAACAAACCATCAACAATAAAAATTACAAATAATGTAGACACCTAAACAAATTCATTCTTTGAGTTGTAGAAATATTTTGAACACAACCTTCTCCGAGTTATTTAATCAGTGACTGTTTGTTACTCCATCTTTTTCTGATTATTATAAAAGTTTCACCTACCTAAAATTTAAAACATGGTTTCATCTCTTTCCCCACACTAGCTACCAGAAAACCATAAAAATTTATCAAAATAACAACATCAAAATGATAACAGTAGAGCAATAATTCATGAGCTATTTTTTGTCTTCGTATACAGGCAATGATCAATTAAGAAATGACGTAATTAAATAAAATAAAACCAATGAAAGCAACTATAACAGGGAAATTACCGAATCCAAATATTCATTCAAATAATAGGAGAATGAGGATTTAATCAATTACCCTTCATGAAATAAATATAAGAAAGAAAACGAAATTGCGTGAAAAGAAAATGGCGGTGTAAGGGAGTTGAGTTGAAGAAAACCGGAGGAAAGAGAGGTCGGCGAGAACCACGACGGCCGCACGGTAGTAAAACGATATCAAACTACTTACCACTTGAACCAACCCTATTGGTGTTTTCTAATACATTTACAATCCATAAATTATTCATGATTTTCAAAATCAACAGAATATATGAATGCACTTAAATTCAGTAGAATATCGAAATCAACATATGTACAAATAACGTGTTTGCTCAAAATCAAGATGACAACAGTAGAATATCAAAATCAAAGGTATTTTTTTTCCAAAATGAAAATTGATATATGAATGCACTTAAATTATGCAGAATATCAAAATCAAAATGACAACAATAGTTCAATAATTTATATGTACAAAAAAACGTGTTTTTTTAAAATAATATACAAATTATAATGCATATGTCATTCAAAATTTTCAATTTCTAAGTAAAAGATAAATGTATTTAAGTAGAATAAAATTTTATAATTTTTTTAGAAGTAAACTATCTTTATAAACTTAGCCGCTACTTACATTAGGGGTGCATTTGGTTCACGGAATGTAAGATTACCAGTGTGAATAAAAGATTACCAGGGAATATGATTACTGGGAATGTTGTATTTTGTGTTTGGTTGGTTTAGCATGAATGTAAGATTAATGTGTTTGGTTAAAGGAATAAAATATTATTAAAATGTATATTTGACCAAATTGTCCTTATTATATATTTGTTTTTTTAACAAGTTGGAAAATATTTATATATTTTCTTTAAAAAAATTAAATTCATAATATATATATATATATTTTACAAAATTGAAAATATAAAAAGGTTTAATGAAAGGGTAAAATTTTATTTTAACCCCTGAACTTCATATAATATTTTAATTATAGATTTTTTTTGTAAATCTAAAATAGTTTAAGGATAAATTTGTAATTTAACCTTCGTAGAATTTTTATTATTCAATGACAGAATAAGAATATTTTTGAAAGAAATTTTTTTAAGGCCATTTTAGTTCAAAACACTGGTAATCCAATAATACCTAAGGAAATGGAGGTAATGACATTCCCGGTAATATACCCCAAAAAATCCACTATTGGTAATATAAAATTACCGGGAATGACATTCCCGGCCAACCAAATGGGAGAATGTGGATTTCATTCCCATGAGAATCTCACATTCTCCCAACCAAACACACCCTAGAAAGTATCACATCCAAAATATATTAGGGTGAATGATAAGTGTTATGATTACAAGATAATATTTATTTAAAACTTTTTTAGTTACTGACAGTGCAAGCACATTTAGTAGATATAATTATCGTAATTATTTAAATATGTGTTGTCTAAGAAAAATAATATTCCTTTTGATTGTTGAGATCATTTAATGAATTACGAAATATTTTAAAAGAAATGATTAATTTAGTATTGACCTTGGTCTTTGAATAGTAGGTCTCATATATAATGCATTTATTTACATTGCCAAAATCATCAACTAACAAAGCAGGTAAGGATTTATGAATACAAATTAAGCGTCTGTTTGGAATGGAGAAAACATTTTACGGAAAATGTTTTCTCAATTTTACTGTGTTTGGTTCCCGTCAAACACCTGGGTTAACGTAAAATATTTTACGGTCAATGAAAAAGTGAGGAAAACACGGTATTATCGCTTCAATTTTGGGTTTGTTCTGTTTATGATTCTCTTGTTGTGGATTTGGTTTATGAACAATATTTAATCATATATTAATTGGCAAGGATCAGATGAAGTAAAGCACCTATTGCAATCAAAATAAGCTAGACCTCTTGTTTGAATTAATAACTTATTTGAGATCCATCTGGTGCTTAGTGGGAACCTTCATCATCGGTTTTGAGCTGATACAAATTATCGAATTGATTCATTTATATGCTTTGTTTACTAGTCTGTCAGAATACTGTGTGCATACAGTTCTGCTCCCGTTCGATGCTTCCTTTCATCTGTTCTTAAGGATTATGATAACACTCTCTTTAGTGCAACTTCTGTTGTAAATTCTTTGATTTACTTCTCATTTTATGTCCAGGGAAAAGTTAAGTATCTTGGCAGACCAGTATTACCTTCCGGCTGTGAAGGAGAAGTTGGCCCATGTGGGGCTGTTGGTGCAATGGATTCCTTAAACTTGGGCGGGTATGGTGTAGAGCTTGCTTTGAAGAATATGGAGTATAAGGCCATGGATGACAGTACCGTAATGAAAGGTTAGCATTTTTGCTGGAGCAGTTGCAAATTCAAAAGCCACCCCTTTTTCTTGACCTTTGTATCAATTTGGCCAATAGGTTTATTTTACCATGTATTTTTTCTTTACTTTTTCCAAGGCTTCTATGTATTATGTATTATGTAGTTATCTTCTATTTTTTTTTTCAATTGCCATTATGGATCTTTGCATTTGAATTCAATTGTGATATTTCCTTGGCAGATGTAGCAATATGTTTGTGGTTGATGTTTTTGGTTTCTATATATGGATCTTCTTTAATCATACTGTTCTCTCTAATGCATACACTTTTGTCTTGGTGTTCTAACTTGTTTGCTCTATGGTTTTTGGAAACTTTCAAGCTTGATTTGTCCTTTAATCTTTTAATATTATTATTATTATTTCTTTTTTGAGGTTTTTCTCCTTATGAATACATCTCATTCTTCTTCATCGTTCTCAATTGTAGTACAACTTCTTGGGAATGCCTATGGTGTTCTATTACAAATATGGATATCTTGAATAAAATGCATTCATGCAAGTTTTATTTTAGCATGCATGCTTGTTTGCTTCTAATCACATGCTTTATTTCTTTGGTTGAGATATCTAAGGACTTGAGGTTTGAATTGCAGGTGTAATTCTAGAAGATCCTCATACTAAAGATCTTAGCCAAGAAGTTAGGGGGTTTATATATGAATAAACTTAAAGAACTGAACCTTCCACTCTGGGGAGGAGTAAACACTAGTCATGATTTTCTAACTGTGAAATGTGAACCATGTCATCCTGAAGTTAATATTTTCTTTCATCTCCTTTTCAGGAACGCAAACCTGACCTTACATCAGAGATAATGGCATTCAGGGATTATCTTTTGTCATCAACAGTATCAGACACACTTGATGTTTGGGAACCGCAAGGTATTGTTTAGTTAAGGTTTTCTTTTTCCTTCTAGTTATGAATGTCTAGTCTTCAAATTGCCAAAAATTTCCCCTTTGAACAGATTTAGGCATCAAACTGCAAAGAGAATAGTACAGGCCTCTGATCCTTTGCAGTCGATGCAAGAAATCAACCAAAATTTTCCTAGTGTAGTGTCTTCTTTATCTCGAATGAAGGTAACTTCTTGGTGACTCTCTCAGTGTTTTAGCAGCTGTAATATTTATAATATAGGCTCCAACAATAAGGTGCCCAATTTTGTTTTCTAATCAGTTTATACAAATTCATGCATTTTTCAGCTCAATGATTCAATTATAGAAGAGATACTTGCAAACCAGAGAATGATCCCTCCTGGCAAGTCCCTGATGGCTCTTAACGGTGCTTTAATCAATATTGAAGATATTGACCTTTATCTGTAATGCTCTTTCTCCCCTATTTCTTTTGTTCTTCACTGAAAATTTTATCTGTTGACTGTTTAGAATTCATGACATTTTTAAATATTTATATTTGGTCCATCTATACTTGAAGATTTTATCCATTGTCTCCAAACAGTTTTTAACAATATAAAGTTTATCGTGTGAAAAGGAATTCATGGTGAAACTTTGGGGATTTTACACATGTTGTAAAGCATGACAGATCAGTATGATAAATTCTTACCATTCATCGATTCTTCTATGAGAAATGTTTTTTCACCATTGATTTAGATATATAGCAATTCATGTTAAAATAGTTCAAATAGATAAATAAATCGTGTAATTTTAGTGAGAATGAATTCTAAATCTGATACTTTTATTGCAAATGCAGTGCAAATGTTCATTATTTAACCTCCAAGTTTTTCTCTATTAAAAAAAATACTCTGTTGTGAGTTTGAGCACACTATAATATCTTATGATTTAGGGATTTAATTTGATGCATATATCATTATATATTACGGTTGGATATTATTGTTGTTTTAATGTGATAAATCCTTTAATTATATATTTTGACATTATTATTATTATTATTACAATGTTATGAACTATTGTTGTTTAATGTGGTGTACTATTAATTAAACTTACATAATTTTTATGAACTTTTATAATATATTTTTAATCAATTATTAATATTAATTTAAATAAACCTACATAATATTAATTATACGTTGAAATTCATTTCTAAAAATACGAATGAATAAGCATCATGAAGATTTTAAACCTAAAATAGTGTATTTATAACACAATCAACATAAATTATTAATATTATTTAAAAATTTAGTTTGATGTACTAATAAAAATACATATTTTTATAAAATATAATTATATAAAAAATGAACCTTTAAAGCTAAGTTAAAGAATAAAAACATATCGAATATGTAGGCTTCTTTATTAAAAACATATTCTGAAAATTATTTTCAGAAAAATTAAACAAACAGTATAAAACATTTTACAATATATCATCCAAACACTGAAAAATATTTTTTAAAAAATATTTTCTAAAAATATAATTTATATTTTAGATTTCATTTTTCGAAAACTGTTTTCGTTGAAAAAAAAAATCATAAATCATTAAATTGTATAATATTAGTCTATCACTAAGGACTAGGACCTTTTTCTTTCCTTTCTCCCCCACAACCTTTTGTGATGAACTCATAGTACACCCTTTATTTACAAGGATTTAAAGTTTTTTTTTTTTGGTATTTAATGTTATTTGACTTTCATCGTCAACTGAACCTAAAAGCTTTACATTTCAAAAGAAAAAACAAACTCTGAATCTGCACCAGCAGACAAACAAATCCAATATCCACAAAGACCATAAAAAGTTGACTTGAAAATGGAGTACTCTATCTCCCTTCCATCTGTCCCTGAGCTTTGTGGAGGGAAAATGGCTGTGAAGTTCATGGAGGGGCCATTCTCCGCTACATTTCATACAACAAAATGAGTCGTGGGACAACTCTCTCTTTTGGGCACTTGAACCAATGCGGTGCTGGCAATGGGAGAAAGTGAGTGATTTTCAGGTTAAAAACTTCAAACGCTACACCAAGAATAATGCAATAGCTCTATGACATGATACAGTACCAAAATGATGTTCAAAATATACTCCATTCGAGTTAACAACAGTGAAGGAGTAAACATGGAAAACAGACGTTTAGACTTTTGAAGGGTGTGAGAGGTCAAGATCTTAACCCCTCTTTTTATTTATTTTTAGGTTAAAGGGAGATGGGAGAAGAAGAAGAAAAAAGGGGTTTGGGATTGGGATTGGGATTGGGAAGAAGGAAAAGCAAAAAAAAATATATAAAAAGGCAAAGGAAAAGGAAAGGAATTTCAGTGCCATCAATTCAATACTGTTCTTACACTGTCATCCATTTGATACCCCCTTTGCAATTCTATTTCTTTTCACTGCACATTTTGCACCAACTTTTCCTTTACACGACTTGACCATTTCCTCCCCAAGCCACCATCTTTTTCATTTATTCTCTTTCCCAGCTACCATTCCATCTCTATTGTTACAAGTAGGTACGATTAAATGATCACAAAGTAACAAAAAGATATAACCCATTAAAGGATGATAATAGTAGAAGGGAGTACCTTCTCCCTACAGTCAAGACAGATTTAAAAATAGGACACATATAGATTAATAATATAAAATTTTAGGTAGCCACCGTCCGTAAAATAAATAATTAATAAAAAAAATTCAGATTTTAGGGTGAGTATAAAAAATTTCAGGGTAGACGCCATTGGTAAAATAAGTAATTAATCAAAGAAATTTTGGATTTCACACCGAACTCTGGCTCCGCTACTGCCTAGATGATTTTGATTCAAACAGTTGTTTTTGTATGGTACGTGCAAAATTATTAACAAATATTACCTTATAATCGTCCAAAATTATCAAAAAATAATAATAACACGATTTTATGTGAAAAAACTCTAAATGAGAAAAAAATAACATAGAAAAAATATTTCACTATAGTCAATTATAAATGACAGAAGGATTATATGAGAGTACATTAAACTATATAACCCTAGATCTATAGTTACACGAACGCAATAATCATAATTAAATAAAATTGTGCCATACCGTCGAGTAACCACAAGTTCTCACCATTTCTTTCAGTTTACTTCTTCACCGAGTTGCACCATATATAACTTTTGTTGGATCTGACAAAACATGCTACATGTCATATTTTAAGTTAATTACAATGATGGTGTGGTGTTGGGGGCGCACGTTTTGGCATGATTTAAAGAAGTAAAGAGAAGAGTTTTCTCAAGTCCATTCTTTTCTGCAAGCTGAAAAGGTTTCCAAGCAAAATGAAAACTAAGAGCGTAGAAATGTAAAGTAATTGGAGAAAGTGGGTGGAAATTCATTCCCCTTTTCTCCTACGATAATTCAGTTCTTGTTTAGACGGATGAAGCTCAAAGGCAACTATAAGCATAGAAGAGGGATATGTGATATTATGTTAGGAGATGGAAGGCAACAGTATGTATGTCTGTTTTTACTTTATGTTAAAAGTAAAATGAGTTATGGTATCTACTTTGATGGAATGTGGTCCATCGACACGTGCAAATGATGCCATTGTCGTCCTAATCATGCCTCCTTCCCACCGTTTCTTCCACTGTGTGGGATCCACTCCTTTCATCCTAATTATTTATTCACTCGCTGCAAGGAAGAAAAAATGTTTGTGATTATGATGAAACATTCCACCGTCGTGTTAAATTTTGACCGTCCATTAACGGATCAACAAGTGTCCTACAAGCCGGTCAGTGTTTTCCATGGAATTTGAAAATTTCCATCATCAGGTGCATGCATGTAATTTGATGATTGGGTGTTACATTCTGTGGGAATAAGACAATGAGAATTTTCACTACATTTGGGTCTTTTTACGGTGGTTTATGATCCAAAAATGTGCAATTCTAGACCACCTGATTCGTTGCTTCTTTTGTTGAATCATTGCAATCACTTTTGTTTGTTTTTTTCTCTCAAATCATTCTCAACCATTAATTTCGCATAATATCTGAGACTAACAAGACCTCCATCCAACATATTTGAATATAATCTTATTATTTTATGTATTTGACAAATTAATAAAAATGAAAAACCCATTAAATAGTATTTGGAATTTACATGATAATATAAACTAACCCATGGCAAAAACTTGCATTCGATATGAATAGTAAACGTACGTGGGGGTACCGAAAGGAAAATCTTGATTTGGTCATAAAGAAGCTGAGAAAATATAAACTAACCTATGGTAAATATTTTTTTTTCTTCCTAAAAGTAAAGTAATAATCAGCCTAACATGTGATATATATTGAAAATGGGAAATGAGATTAGGCACATAATCATGTCTGCCTATGTAAAGTAGGGGTGGAATTAACGTGGTTATTTATTTATAGAATTAGTTTTAGTTTCTTTGTCGTGATTGAAGGAGATACTACATAATGTTTTATTTTACTATATTTACGTCCTGAGATAAATACAATTTAAAATGAAAATATATTTTTGCTGGGGTTAGAAATTGGATTAAACGGTTGTTGACGATTCATTTGTTTCGATTTAGGTGGAGAGACGATTCATTTGTTTTGATTTACGTAAGGAGACATTGATACAATTTTATGAAAAATAGGGAGCTGGAAGCGATGAGTAATATAAAGTTGAGAGGAGGAAAGATAAAATATTGCCTCCCCCCTTCTCCATACTATGTACTTATCTTTATACTGATTCTTAATACTTGTGTTAAGACTGAGGCCATGATGGTAATTCATAGACTGACATAATCAATAGATATGATCATCTAATAGTAGATTTGGTCTTGACAGATCATGTGAGTTTATAAATGATATTGTCAAAGGATTGTGACAATCATTGCGTGTGAGTTCCAGTTACCAAAAGACAATTATCGCAATATTTCTCGATAAATAACCCATTAAAAGCTATAAATACCCTCTCACATGTATAGTGTCAAGTCATTTTATGACATTCCCTCAACCAAAAAAGAATAAGTGTTGTAGGTTAGAATCTCCTTCACAATGCGACTCCGCTAGCACTCATCCACCTATTTAAGCCTTTAAAGGAACTCATCCACTGATAGAAGTCCTTGAATACTCGTATCTTTCAACCGGTTATAATATTTTGATAAGACCACTAACATACTTACTTGATCTGTCAGGACTGAATCTGCTTTCAGACAATGATATAC